GCGAGAAGTTAGTCATTTATGCAGAATACAAGCAATGCTTCAATAGAAACAAAGAAGCAAGTTTGGGCTCCTAGTGAATGGCAATGCTTAGTTGCCTCTACTGAGAACACTCATTTCAGGATCACTGAGTTACTAGAGCAGTATGAAGATTTGTTCAAAAGACACACTGGTTTACCTGATGTCAGAATTCCTTTGAAGCAAGATACTTATCCAAGCAAGATGCAATCCATGACTAATCAAGAGCTAAGGTGGGACCAATTGCTACTAAAAGCTAAGGTGTTCAGAGTTCCTTTAAACTACAAAGTGAGGAATGAAAATCAAGTTTGGCAGCCTCCTTGGAGATTGGAATCTACCTAACAAACCACACATTCCATATTAGCCCTAAGAAAGGAGTATGTGGGTCACTTTCAGGCCTATTGATTGTATTGGAAAAGGGAATGATCAAGCAAGGTACTAAGTTGCTGGGCAATACATTGTGAAGTAGGATGGCCAAGTGTGGAAAATGCTTCGGAGATAGAGCAAAAGATTCCTGAATTTGTTTTGGGAACCAGCATTAGTACAAATGCAATACTATTGTTGACTTGTTTGTTGTAGTTGGTACTGGGCAGGGTGTCTTTCTTGAGGTTAGGATGTTTTCTTTTAAGGGGGAAGGAATGTTGCAGTGCAACTAACCCCAAGCTTAGCTGGCAGTTGTTATAGACTTAGTTACATATTTTCGTCTTTATATACATCGTTGGAGCTGTAAACAAGATATTCAGATTAATAATCAAATACTAAATTCTCTATCTCTCTCTTCTCGGTTCATCTCTGTTCTTCTCCTTCCTCTCAAACTCTTCTAAGTTTCTAAGAATCCTTCCACTGATTCTCAATCCTAGCTTCGTCCTCGAGGGTTCTTCCCTGTTCTTGAACCCTCCTGCATTGAACGCTAACACATTGGGTGTTATAAAAAGTCTCACTGACACCCCTTTTCCTCCACAAAATTTGTCCCCTACGACTAGAGGCATGATTGTCTAGATAACGGATGCAACAGTTGTACTCCCGGCTCATACAGTGGAGGACAGAAATAATGAATCACAGGAATCAAGCAAAAAATATCAATTGGAGCTCCAGTTGAGAGAACTCACCAAAAAAACAGATCGGCGCTGAGATTCTGCTCTCGGATAAACGGCCGTGGAATCACTGTTTTTCACAGTCGGCACCAAATCGCAGCAAAGTGCTAAAAATGTAGGAATTGTGCCTAGTTGCTTCATTGCCATTTCTTTTCTTGGGCTAATCATTACGGAGTAATTTTTTTTTTTGGGTGAAGAATTGCTACCTCAATTGCACCATCTAAAAAAAAGTTGATTTAAATTATCCGCCTCAAGACTTCATGTATTTTTTTTGTGGTATTGTGTGGTGGTGTTAATTTTGACAATGGACTCTGCATTGGACAGACTTCTTGTTTTGTTAGAGAAGGTTCTTTATTGAAAATTTGAGCATGACGAAGAAGTTTGTATGATTTTTTATCATGTGAATGAAATTATTAAGAATCTCAGGCCATCAATTTGAAGGTCAAATTAATTATTATACGCCCGGCGTAGAAATCTTCTGCTCAGTATGAGATTTGGTTTGTAGACCTCCAATTGTGCCAAGTCAAATTCCTTTATGGTATGTTTGGGAATATGGACTTGGATTTCAAATCCGGATTTGGTTCAAATTCCATGTTTGAAAAACTTTAAAATTTTGAATTAGGATTTAAGTCAAATTCCTCCATTCATAACAAAGTTTAATTTGAAATTCACGTACTTCCCATTGTCATTTAAAAATCAAGATTTCAAATTTTAGAATTGAAATGCATGAATTGAAATGAAATGCTAGTTTCCAAACACTACCTTAGAGTTACAAATTTTCAGAACACACATCATAGGTATTATACGAAAAGTGACATGCGCTCCACTTTCTCCACCAACTTTGCCCCTATAATGTGACGGAACTGAACCCTTGCATTGGTTAGCCAACGTATGTGAGTATTTTGAGTTTTATGAGATTCCTTTAAATGATTGTTTGCATCCTGTGGAATTGTTGGTTTCGTTGGCATTCAAACAATGGTGTGCTCGATTCCTGGGATGATTTAATCAAGAAATTCAAGATTCACTTTGCTCCATTTCATGATTTAAATTATGGTTGTTTTGAAAAGCAATCGGAGGAGGCTAGAGATACATTTGTCCACATGGTGAAAGACACCACCACAATACCCGCCCTGTGGACACAGATAAATCAAAGGAAGCAAGCGAGAAATCTCACATCAGGGAGGACGATGATAGCAAGTTTGTTGCCGTTGGGGATGATGGTGGTGCTAATGATGAAGATGACGGTGTTAATATTCAGAGAGATGAACCATCCTCCAAGCCACTAAATGCCTTAGTTGGGGTGAAGATTGTCGAGTATGAAGTTCTAAGAAGTGTAGACAAGGTCGCAGATGAAGATTATACGCAAACGGACAACTCAGTATCATTCGATACCATCAAGTTGTTTGACATTGTTGATGTCAAATCCGCGTCCCAGGTTTCATTGGAGGTGGTTCAAGACAAGTTTCGTCTTTTCTTATTTTCCCATTGCTACACTACAACCGGCATGCTCCGTGCAAAATGCTCAGCAGATGGACTTCTTCTTTAGGTCAACATTTAGTTATGTATCCAAAAGCACCACAGGGAGCCTCCACCTTGAGAACAAGGTGGTTTTTAAGGGGGTTAGAATGATATGTATGGTGATTGGCATATTTATTTAATTAGTACTCCCTCTGTCCCATATCTTTCTTCTCAGAGCACTATTCCAACTTTACGAGCACTTTTATTTATTTGTGTTGTTTATGGCCTATATGATAAAATAAAATATTCTTGTCACCATTTGTTTTGTTGAACTTTTGATGTAGTTTTTCAATATTAATTTTTATTTTCTATTTTCATGCTAATATTAAAATAAAATAGATTGAAAGCACTTTGGGTTTTTCTTTGTTTTGTGCAAAAGGAAGAAAAATATGGGACGGAGGGAACGTCCGTCCTAAAATGATCTTCTCAATCACAATTCGTATGGTCAAGCTTTAATCACTTACTTTACCCATTTTTTTTAGTTATTTGATAAAATAATATTATCGTGTTACCTCTTGTTTTGTAGAACTTTTGATGTAGTTTCAAAATATATAATTTTTATTTTAAAATTTTACACCTATAATCAAATGAAATGAATTGAAAATAAATTCAATTAAACCTCATAAATCAAACTGGGAAGATCATTTTGGGACAGGGGAGTATTTAATATTCTATAGTTAATAGGGTTTAGAGTTTTAGTATGGGCTCGAGCCCATTAGGTCAATTATGGTGTTCTGTCTTCTATTTATATTGTAACCATGTATCATTATTATTGTATCAATGAATCAATAAAAGAATTTCTCAATCTTTCTCTCTATCTAGGGAGCACGAAAACGCTCTAAATTTTCAACTTTCTCTCCTCTCTTCTTCTTGGATCTTGAAGAACACTCGATGTTCTTCCCTAAAGATTCGTGTGTGTGTGTGTGTGTATATATATATAGAGAGAGAGAGAGAGAGAAAGTGGAGAGTTACACCATCTCAAATGGTGTAAGTCTCTGACACCATTTCAATCGAGCCATCTACGATAATCCGTTCATAGAATTAACGGTTCTTACGCCTCCTAAACCCCCTCATAAACCCCCGGTAGGATGTTATACCCGAGCCTAGCCCCATGAAACTCTCACTCACGCCTTACACTATCATAAGAACCAAAGGACTTATATTCAAATATTATGATCCATTTTAGTTGAATTCAAAAGGTCCTTAAACCCAAAAGGCCAAAACAACCTCCGTTTGACCCGAGGGTTCTGTGGTTTACTCCCATTTCAGTCCAAACCATCCCAAAACATCCAAAAACACTTTATACTTCCCTTTTTATTCAAATAAAGTCTTCCCCCACTCATTTCAAAGCCCTTGGCCGAAAATGAGAAGAAAATAAAAGCCAAAACCTTTGTTTGTTTCTTTTAAAGTCCTTTTACCCAAATAATGTCTTTCCTCTTTATTTCCTACAACTAGGGACGAAAATCCCTTCCATTTTATCCATAAATCAGGCCCCTTTTCAACTATTAACAAAGAGAAATCACCTTTCTCACAATCAGGATAGAAGTCATAAAGTTGAATAGTGAAAATTTGTCCTTTTGTTGACTTATTTCACATCCTTGCACCCATGATCTTTCCTTGTCATTTCTTACCATATAGGGCCAAAATTCCTTACACAAAAATCAGGGAAAATCTCCTCTTAAACCCCACCCTTGACCTTAGATACTAAAGGCCGAATCCATCACACACAACAAGCCAAGGGACATTTCCATCACAGCCACTTAGTGTTCCCTGTTGTTTTCTTCACACATGGCCGAATTTCCTCCTTCAAAACAGGCCAAGAAACATCTCCAAATATCTCTCATTAGTGGCTGGATAATCATCACAAAACCAGCCAAAGGAATCCATCATCTTAGTCATGAATTTAACTCATTTGGATGCTGATTTTGGAAAGGATTAAGAAGCTGCCTTGATTGTATTCTTTCTCCCTTATTATGTATATATAATTTTGGCCATAGGCCTTGTAAACCAGCATATGAATTAAATGAAAACTTTGTTTACTCTTTTGAGTATTCTCTTAAAATAGTGTGATGCTATTTTAGCCAAATTCCTAATTCTATATCTTAAGAGTGGTNCATATAAGTATCAGTCACTTTATCTTCCAACCATTTCTATAGTTCTACTTTAGAGTTCTAGAAAGAGTTACTAATAAAAAATCTATCAGTCATTACTAATCAAGGCGAGGCCTCCAACAGCAATATCTTGGCCAATGTAGTTCAAAATCCAAGGCAATCAAAGGTCCCCTGCCCAATCTTCCTAAGATGAATCAAATGAGAGAGAGAGAGAGAGAGAAAATACCATAGATCATAAGAGAAATAGACAATTATAGTGTACCTTACACCCACTTAAATTCAAATCAACCACAAGTTTGCAGTTTCTTACTAAATGCATTATGCCAGCATCAGTAACCCTGAAAATCAGTATAACAATCACACATGAGAATACAAAATCAACATTTGCTTAGAACACACCAAGAGTGTAAATTGTAACAACACAAATTAAGCCTTTAAAATACCTTACGTTCCAATATATGGAAAACCCCTTCAGTTTGGGACAAATACTGGTTATAGCTTCAATCCCCGTATCAGAGATCTTTTGACAACCATTTAAATTCAATGTTGCAAGGTTTTGAAGAGAATCGCCACACTGCCAAAGATGAATGCCATAAATTTGAAACTTTATCAAAAGCTCATAAATATGTATATGCACAACATGCAAAAGGTCTAACATGATATAAAAATGAGATTAACATATGAATTCTTTGCAGCTTAATAAACTCTGTTTGACTGAGGTAAACAACATGCATGTAAATGACATAGGTCACATTTGGGATTGTGTTTGCTGTGGGAAAAGCCCAAATTTTTCCTAATGCAGCCCCAAGCAAACAATAGCTTTGCCCAAAGCTGATTTGAAATGACAAAAGTCACTGCAAGTCCGTAACGCAAAAGTCAATCCAGGGCGATTTTAGATTTTTTGCATTTTGAGAATTGTGTGAGATCAATAAATTTCTGTTTTAGACATGAAAACTCTACACAGCACTTTTTCAACCTCAACGGCAAACACGTATAATGTTCAAAAGTACTTTCCTACCACAATTCTCAAAAATACTTTTCGAAAGTGCTTTTCTAATAACGAGTTATTTTAAACCAGTAAACCACAATCTAAATCCACACTTTAAAACCCTAAACAGACATATAATGATCATATGACTGTTGTGTTCAAATATACAACTCTAACTAAAAAATAAAAATAGTCCATTTCACTGAGAAACTAAGAAGACGCTCATCAGCTATGATATGCAAAATGGAGAATAAATGTCTTTTTAAAAAAAGGTATCGACTCCTGTTTCCTAATGATTTTTGGTAGAGTTCAAGGGATACCTGGCTCTTGACATCCTGGAGATTCTTGTCTTCCACATCCTGTGCAAACTCAAGGTTTATATGCCTCACATTTTGATATCTCACCTGGGAAAAAAAGGTTAAATAAGTAAACCACTAGAGCTTTAATATAATATATCTATTTCTTTATCTTTTACAGAAAAATACAAAAATTTTTATAAGCCTTGAGTGGTCTTTATCTACATCAGTAAGTTCCAGTTATCTTCAGCTCTGATTAGCCTTACATACATTTCAACTAGCATCTAAATTTTAGTTATTTTACATTTTTTTCAAGGAACAGGGCATTAATTTTCAGAGGCATGCCATAATAAAAGAAACAAAAATAGAAAGATTCAAAACTGACCAGATGAAGGGCAGCGACTAGGCGACTCCCGGCATTGTTCATCTCATGAAAATCAAGCGCCTGAAAAGAAGGTTTCACACACACACGCACACAGAAGAAGAAGAAATCAAATTCTCAAAATCCAGAAAATAACACACAGAAAATCTGCATACACAGATAGAGAATAGAGATATGGACATGGAAGTAAAAGTGAAAAGCTGACCATCCAGAGGGAGGGGTGGGTGATGAGTGCGCTGCGAACCCAAGGGTTGAGAAGCAATAAAGAGGTGAGGTCTCTTTGGGGGAGTCTGGTACTCACTATCTTCATAACTTTTGGTGCCGTTTCTCTGTTCCAGACCTCATCTTCTGTTATTGATGCTTTTTCCCTTCTCTCCATAGCTCTATCCCGAAAATCTTTCGCTCCCCTCTCTGCTTCACCCAACTCGAACATTAGAGAAAGTATTCAAGACTTTCATTAGAAGAATTTATGGAAAAGGCCAGAACAAAAGGTTGGAATTTATGACAATGTCATCCTACATCTAACATAGATTTGTGTGACACGTGTTCGCTCTACTTGCATGAAATAAGGGGAAATGAGAGAAAGACCCTTCCAATCAAGAAATAAAACATCACTGTTTATGACCGTTACTTCAAAAATTTAATGGAAATTAAATATTAAAATTAACTACTAGTCGTTAGGTTGCCTTCGAAGCGTCATAATTATTTTCAAAAAAACCAAACGGCGTCGTTTGAAGCGTCAACCCTTCCTTAATCCCCCGACTAGTCTTCGGAAATGATACAGCTTCATCAATCAAAACTGTTCTGCTCTTCGTTCTCCATTGCATATCGTCGCCGGATACCTTCAATTACTACCACATATCTGTTTGCCATGTTTGACTTGTCTTCTTTTGATCTCATTTTCGACAAGGGATTAAGAATGAATGGAAAAGGCTTTATTTTGATTAAAAGGAAGCGATAAAAGACGTTTAGATATTTTGGATGTGTGTGGTTTTGAGGCAGGTTTGACCAGCGGGTGGTTTTTGGTGTTGGATTGGATTTATTGGGTTAGGTCCATTGAATGGTGCAAAATTCTTTTTAGAAAACATATTAAGAAATAATAAAGTGCAAAAATATTCAATTTAAGACAAAAATAAAGGGTGAAGAGGGAATGTGTGAAGAGGGAAGAAATGGTTTTTAGTGCTAAATGGTAAATCGCCTACTGTTCAGCATTAGCTAATTAGGTAGTTTCAAATTTCAACTAAGAGCACTAGAAGTACTCTGAATACTCCACGTTTTATTTCCATTTTTAACAACAAGGTGTGTTAAACAACGCTTCTCCCTGTTATGCTGATGTTAAACATTTTAAAATAAAGAGTCGTCGCCCCCTCCCCAACGGCTAAAATGCTGTTACAATTTTTAATAAAAAACCTCTTCTATAAATTCATAAATTTTTAAAAAAATTAAACACGCACTACATAAAATAATCTCTCGCTCCTCTTTCTAAAAAAGAATTATTCAAGTATTTCTTTTGTTTTTAACATGAATCCCTTCGGTTCCTCAGTTTCTCTATCTGGTCTTGAGCCAAACAAGTTAGCGATGTGACGTACTCTACCTGACGTACAGGTTGTTATTCGAAATGCAAACCTTGGTGAATCTCAAGGACTCAGAGTCAGTTTTGGAGAATCAACCAGAACCAAGTCCACCAAAAAAGTGCACACTAGAAGAGTCACAAGAGAAAGACCGACAAGCCAATGACCGAGGCGACACCGTCAATTAAAAAGTAGACACCTCGGAGCATCGTATTGTTGGTAAATTTTCTGTGTTTTCAATATATATTGTATATATGTTCTTTTTTTATATATTTCTGTTAAAATATTTTTTTAATTAATTATATATTTCTTAAAGATTCTTGGCAAATGAAGGATACAATATGGGATCGTATCAAGGAGAAGTTCTTTGCGGCAATGAACAAGGACGCATCCTACCGATTCCGAGACGAACTCTCTTCCAAATGGGGCCATATCAACCAAAAAGTCTCAAAGTTTATCAGGGTTTACGAGGAATGCTCTTGGTCCCGAAAGAGCAGGATGAATAATGTTGATGTTCTCCGGCAAGCCACCGCCTAGTATCAAAACGACGGGCACCAAGACAAGGTCCTTGCCGATGTTTGGAGAATTTTAAGTCGTTCACTGAAATGGAAACAACTCTAAAATTCTGAGGCCGGATCATCAAAGAACAAATTCTCCACCGAGGTTGAGGTCGATGACACTATCGTCCCGTCGGAACAAAGGCATCCCTTTAACCTAGACGACTCCCATGATGATCAAGAACCCCATTCCACGACCGATCAGAAGAAAGAAGGAAAAATCCATTGCCTCGGATTCTACAAGGTGTGGCTCTATTTTCTTCTCACGATGAAATCAACCTGGCAGTGGTTGAAAAACTTCGGGTGTTCAATATCAGTGAAGAAGAGAGGGTGAAATGAAGGCAATAAGAGGAGCTAGAAATAATGGAAACCGGCCTTGATACGTTAACAGACTTCAAAACTATGTATTTCGATAGAACACAAAATGAGATCACGGCAAAATTTAATTTGCTTTAATTTTTTTATTAATGTAGTTTTTTGTAAAAAATTAATGTTATTTTTTTTATTGAATGTAATTTTTTTAATGAATTATTATCGTTTAAGTTCAATTAGTTGATGAGATCTTATTAATTTAATTTTACAAAATGTGTATTAAAAGTTTAAAAAAATAAAGGCTTGAATGCCCGAGGCTTGACACCTATTTCTAGTGAAATTGTAATGTAAAGGGGGTTAAAGCTGATGTGACGAGAGAAAATGTTTGAATACCCAGTTTGGAGCCCGAGGCTTCAAACCCATTTCTAGTGCTCTCTCACACCCAATTAATTTTTAATTGTTAAAATGGTACACCATCTACTCTTCAGCATGAATTATGAATTTCCTTCTGACCATCACTGATCAGGAACACTTTTATGTCCCTTGCACTAATAAGGAATTATTCAACAAACTACCAAGATTATCCAAGAATTGTCCTAGGCATAAACAGAATGACTCGCAAACTGAATCCAAAATGACCCGCAAACTGAAGAACCGAATTATACTTGAATACCCAAAATGATCCAAACGGAAATGTAATCAAACTGAATGTATTCAGACCCAATTCAGATCTAAATCTGATTGAACCCGAACTAATTAGGCCCGAACCGATTAAACCCTGAACCAATTAGACCCAAAATTGATTAAACCTAAAACCAATTAGACCTAAAAATTGATTATAGCTGATATTGATCAAGTTTAAAATAAATTAAACCCAAATTTGAACAAACCTAATAGCTCATTGATTGATGTCTTTCTAAGAAAAATATATTTGAATTATATGTACAACTGATTTAATGTACAAATCTTTTACTCTGTATTTTATCACTTAAACTAATATTGTTGTCTATTTTTATACAGAGTTAATATAATTTATAGTGACATCATAACACACATTAATGGATATACTAGCTCGTTATTGCTGACATTTGTATATATACTCCCTTTACACATAGGGAGGAGAGGCTACACACAAGGCTAACATTAGGAACTTTAATATCAAGAGATCTAATGTGAAATCGGTATAAACCCGAACCAATATAAAATCGAAACCGGTAAAAACTAAAACCGAATCTAACCCGAAACTGAGCTGACCTGACCCGACCCATTTCGAATCAATTATAACATATATCTGAAAAAGATCTGAACTGAAAATATCTGAACCAGAACCGAACCAATTGACCCAATTGCTAGATTTATTTATTCATACCTTATGTTTTGTTGGATTTAGCTTCCCGATGTTTGCTTAACTTGGTTCCTTTTTTTTGGTTTGACTCATTTTGTGCTCAATTTGCAGGATCCCTCCATTAATAAACTTGGTAAGAATTCCCAAGACCTTACCTCAATCATTTTTGTGGTTATTCCGGGTCTATATATTTAGAGCACATTTTTAACTTGTACAAATTTCACCTCTATAAACCTCAACAGTTCAACATGCACAACAAGAACAACTCATTCGAATCTCACAAGAGTGGAGGCAGAGGAGAGTACTTGTACTCAATGTTTTAAAAATCGAACTGGACGTCGATCCAGACGAGATAGTGGGTTAAGTGTTGACCGGTCAAACCGGTCAAAACAGGGGTCAATGACCCGATCAACTACGTTTATAATAATAATACGTAGTAATATTTTATAATATACGGAGTATTAGATATTTTTGTCAATAAAAGTATTTTAATTTATGTTATTATTTCTCCATATACTATTTCAATAAAGTATCCTTGTACATATGCTATTTCACACCTATTTTTTTCAATTATTTTTATTATTATTAAAAATTAATATTCAATCTCTAACAAATACTTAAATAATAAGGCGATACTCATATTTTCATAAATTAAAGACTAGATATTTTATTCTTATATACATATGACATTTTAAAGTTTATATTTAGTTGATTAAAATGATTGAAAAATAAAAAAATATAGCATATTAAATTATAATTAATAAATATTACTTGATATTTAAAGACAACAAATTTTCAATTATAAAATATACCGGGTATATTTATTTTCAAATAAAAATTAAATAATTTTCAATTTTTTTGTGTGAACCTTTTGTAAAACCATAAATATGATTGATACCTAGATTTTCAATAAAGATTGATTAGCTCACTTGACCGACAACTAGCAGCAGTGTGCCAGTGATGTTGGGTTTGATTCCCAGCTATGCTTTCATTTTTTATATATTAAAATTTAGTAAAATATAGATTTAAGCTCAAACCAGGAACCGGTCGAGTCGACCGGCGTCACCTTGGTTCACCGGGTCCGGCAGGTTTAGACGGTCAAATGGGAGGCGGGTTTCTTCAGTGAACCGGACCGAATATGCTGCTGGTTCGCGGGTCAACCAATTGACTCACTGCGACTTTCATGATGATGATGATGATGATGATGACGACGACGACAACAACAACAACAATACACCGTGTTCAAAACAAAAATAATACACCATAAATCCATAATAACCACGAATCTTTGGCATGAACAGACTTGTTCCCACGTCTATCAAATCTTGACATGATGAAGACCTCAAGAAAAAAAACATAATAAATCAAGAACATAAACAAATAAAAAGTTAAAAATAGAAGAAAAGTATAAAAAAGAAACAAAGTCAGAGCAAAAGCATCAAGAAGCAGAGTTAATGGCAATCTGTTTTTGACAATAAAATGTTTCCATGACAAAATCTCTAGCCTATCATCACACACTGCACCGATTAGAAGCATTTTCTGTGGACAATCGAGGGGCCGGACTCATCATACTCCGCCTTTGCTATCCACATCTGCATTTGGGGCAGAAGATTTACATACATGCTGTTAAATTGCTTTTGAGGAAAAAAATATACTACTATATTCTAGATGTTAGATCATAATCTTTTTGTGCCCAAGAAAATCATTTGTTAAAAAAAGGAAGATTTGGTTGAAATGCGTGAATTGAATAAGTTTCTGAAATTTAGGCCCCGTTTGGTACACGGAATTCAAATTATGGAATTGGAATTGAGGACTTCAATTCTAATTCTGATGTTTGGTAGCACAATACTTATGTGGATTTGGAATTGGTAATGCAAAAAATGAATAGGAATTGGTATAATTCAATTCTATGGAATTGAATTCAATGAAATTTCAATTCCAGTTCAATTCCAATTCCGTCAATTCTATATACCAAACAGACCCTTAAATTCTAGAACCGTTGGTTGGTTTAAAGAAAGGGGTAAAAAGACGGGCGACTCATGGTTCACCGGGCAAATACCTGCTGGAATGTGCTGAGGGATGCCAAAATAGAACCTCCAATCCAAACACTATACTTCCTCTCAGGTGGGGCAACAACCTTAATCTTCATGCTACTTGGAGCCAATGCCGTGATCTCTTTGCTCATCCTGTCAGCAATGCCCGGAAACATCGTAGTCCCACCACTAAGCACAATATTACCGTACAGGTCCTTCCTAATATCAACATCGCACTTCATGATGGAATTGTACGTTGTCTCGTGAATTCCGGCAGCTTCCATCCCGATGATAGAAGGTTGGAACAGAACCTCCGGGCAGCGGAACCTCTCTGCACCAATTGTAATCACCTGCCCGTCGGGCAGCTCGTAGCTCTTATCCACAGTTGAGCTGGTCTTTGCAGCCTCCAGCTCTTGTTCATAGTCGAGGGCAATGTAGGCTAGTTTCTCCTTCACATCTCTTACAATTTCACGCTCAGCAGAAGTGGTGAAAGTATAGCCTCTCTCGGTCAGTATCTTCATGAGATGGTCAGTGAGATCGCGTCCTGCTAAATCAAGACGCAGGATTGCATGTGGAAGGGCATACCCTTCATAGATGGGAACCGTGTGGCTCACACCATCTCCAGAATCCAAAACAATTCCTACATGACATCAATCATGCATAATGGATAGGAAAGTTAATATTGATGCATTTTGGAAGGATCAAGGTATCCTTTTTACTTTTTTGGTGCAATCCAGATCCACAATTAAGTGAAAATGGAGTTGATGCATAAAGTTCAAGTCACAAAGAGTAAAGAAAATGCTTACCAGTAGTACGACCACTGGCATAAAGGGAAAGAACTGCCTGAATGGCAACATACATGGCAGGGGCATTGAACGTTTCAAACATGATTTGCGTCATTTTCTCACGATTAGCCTTAGGGTTAAGAGGAGCTTCTGTGAGGAGCACAGGGTGCTCCTCTGGTGCCACACGGAGTTCATTGTAGAAGGTGTGATGCCAAATTTTCTCCATGTCATCCCAATTGCTGACGATCCCATGTTCAATAGGATACTTGAGAGTCAAAATACCCCTTTTTGATTGGGCCTCATCTCCAACGTACGCATCCTTCTGACCCATCCCAACCATCACCCCTGTATGACGTGGGCGTCCAACAATGCTAGGAAAGACAGCTCGCGGCGCGTCATCTCCAGCAAATCCAGCCTGGAAAATATTATCAGAAACTTAAATGAATTCATATCGGCTTCTCATACTTGTCTTATATAGATATCCAAGAATCAATGAAAGCCCACACCAATTTATTACAAATTTCTTACAATCTTACCTTGACCATTCCTGTCCCATTATCACAGACAAGAGGCTGAATATCCTCACCTTCGGCCATCTTTTGACTTGTTCTGAAAAGGAAAAAAAACCGTGTTACATCACATTTTGCATGCAGACAATTGTGTGAAAACGAAGGTTCACAGGTCAAACAATAACAAACTGCAGTGATTTGATTTTGAAATATGTGAAATGCCAATTTTTTCACATAAAATTCAGTGAAATGAGGTGATCTCACAAGCCTTGAGCATAGATCCAGGGAGTTAGATACTCAATAGTTAATATTAGAAGGAGCTATAAATGACAAGAGAACTTATCTAAAATAGCAACAACAAACGTAGAAAATTCCCACAAGTGGGGTCTAGAGGTGGGTGTACACAGATCTTATCCTTACCGAAAAAAATGTGGAGAAGCTATTTTTGAAAGACCCCCAGCTCAAGCAAGAGATTTACCGGCTGGTTAGTACCGTTGAACAAGTAAAAAGAAATAAAAATCTGTCAGGCCCTACTACATCTAACTAGTATGAACCTATCTCAAAAATAACATTTAATTACACCGTAAAGCCGATCTGTACCCAGATATAAGCGACCCATAACAAATTTGAAAAAGGTATATAGCTTAACCCACACACATCTTGAAATGGGGTGCCTTCATGTCCTAGAAATTCCAGGATCTATACATTTCTATACACCAACCAAAAAAGGTTATACAGAACACACAAAGGATGAATACTTTACACAGAGAAGGATTGGGGAGTGTCATTTCTAACATACATGTACTCCCGTTAGGTGCTACGGCTCAATAAGTACACTATTGACACACTCTCATCTGAACATAATTTGTTATCTATACCAAAGAAAAAATATAGAAACGTGGGATCTAAATCTTGTTAGACTCGCCCAAACATAAACTTTCTTAATATATACTCCCTCTTTCAGGATTTGGTTGTCCATTTTTTTGTTTTCATTCTGTCATGAATTATTTTCGTTGCATGTCCAATAAAGAAATAAGGATGGATTATTTAAAACATCTTAGACATGAGGTAGGAGCATTGTTGATATGAATGTGTTAAGTGACAAACTCATTTATATGACTTCTCTGACGTTTTAAACTCATTCTTAAAAAATTAGATTTTTTGAAGTTAGACAACTGTGAAGATAACAGATTCAATGCCAGCTGTAAAGGGGTCAATGCCAGCTGTCACTTAGCGTTTAACTAACCCCACTGTTTGGGGCTTATTTTTAGGCTTTGCAGTTTTCTGTTAGCTAGTAGTTTTGGTTCCTTTATATACTCCTTTTCCTTTAGCTTGTACGCAGACTTTCACAGATGGAATAACAACTTCTCTTCCAAGTTTCTTTACTTTCTCTTTCTTCCATGGTGTGAAAGTTATCATGGTATCAGAGCTTGAACAAATTCTCTGATTCTCTGGTTTTCTGCATAATCGATCTCTGTTCTTCTGTTTTTCTGAACGATCGATCTCAAGATCTTTTGATTTTCTGCATATTCTTCCAAGGCGGGTGCAAATTCTTCTGAGAGGTCTTCCATCGACATCCACAGCGAGTTGTATCTTCATCCTACAGAATCTCCTAGTTTTTTGCTCGCTTCTCAGAAGTTGAATGGTGAGAACTTTCCTCAGTGGAAACGATCAACAGAAATTGCATTAAGCGCGAGAAATAAGCTAGGTTTTGTCAATGGAGCTTCGAAAATGCCAGAATCTACTTCTACGATGTTCTCTCAATGGGATAGATGCAATAATTTGGTAATTTCATGGATTTTGCATTCTGTTGAACCTGGAATTGCTAACAGCATTCTCTATTGTGAAACAGCAAGAGAGATTTGGGAAGATCTTGCTGAACGCTTTGGTCAATCAAATGCGCCCAGGTTATTTCAGTTACACAAGGAAATAGTGACGTTGACACAAGGATCTGATTCTGTAAGCGATTATTTCACCAAATTGAAAGGACTTTGAGACAATTATCTGGTTATGGTGACCTTGCCACATTGCAAATGTGATGGAGCAGAAACTTACACTAAACTACTCCAGGATCAGCAACTGATGCAATTTCTAATGGGTCTTAATGACAGTTTTAAGGTTGCTAGAGGAAACATTTTGATGATGAGACCTTTGCCTAGCATTAATCAAGCCTACAAACTGATAAGTCAGGAGGAATCTCAACAAGATTGTACCAGCATAGCCCCTTTGACTTGTGAGTCCAGTGCTCTTGCATTCCTCCATCATACCTCCTCTGCTAAACCTGTTTATGGTACCACTCCTAATGGCAGAAAGTCCAAGTATTTTTGTCAACATTGTAAGGTCTATGGACACTCAATTGAAAGGTGCTTCAAGATACATGGTTACCCTAAAAACAACAAAGGACATTATCAAACAGGGGATCAGAATCATTCTCAAGGAAAGAAGCTGGCAGGTCATGCATTTTCTGAAGAAACCAGTGAGTTGAATGTTGCTGTTACAAGCTCAAATCAAGCCTCATCTATCAGTGAACTACCTGTGTCCCTCACTAATGCTCGGTATAATCAACTCCTTGCTCTCCTAAGCAAAGAAAATCTACATGACAATGAGCATGACAGAGCACCAGGGTTTCTCTCTTCACATATGGCCTCAAGTGTTCATTCAGCAGGTAATAACTATTGCTTTCTTTCTTCTTGTGATAACACACAATGGATCATTGATAGTGGAGCCTCAGACCATATTACCCCTCATTTATCCAATTTTTCTTCCTATAACCTCATTCCAGAACCGTGTTTCATTACCATACCAAATGGTCAAAAGGCCAATGTTCTTCATAAAGGGAATGTGATCTTACAAAATGGAATACAGTTGTTTGATGTATTACATGTTCCAGAGTTCCATTTTAACTTGCTATCTGTCCAAAAACTTGTTTCTCAGTTGTCATGTTCCTTAGTCTTTCATCCTTCCCATTGTTTGATTCAGGATCATATGAAGATGAATACTCTGCTGGTTGGTAAAGAATCTGGTGGGCTNCCATTGTTGATGACTTCTCCAGACTTACGTTCAACTACTTTCTCACAAATCTAGTGCTTTTTCAGCCCTCACTAGCTACATCACCCATCTTGAAAAACAATTTGATGTCACTGTTAAGGTCATTCGATCAGACAATGGAATAGAATTTGATGATAACACAGCTCAATCTTTTTATCATTCTCATGGTATTATTCATCAAACCACTTGTGTTGAAACACCACAACAAAATGGGGTTGTGGAACGTAAACACAAACATTTGCTTGAAACTGCCAGGGCCTTATTCTTTCAAGCCAAATTACCTATCAAATATTGGGGTGAATGTGTTCTTACAGCCTGTTACCTAATAAACAGATTTCCCCTATCCATTCTTCATCATAAAACTCCATATGAAATTATTTTTCAAACTCCTCCCAAATATGAACACCTTAGATCTTTTGGATGTTTGTGTTTTGCTACAACTCCATCCTCCCACAGAACAAAATTTGATCCAAGGGCTGTACCTTGTGTTTTTCTAGGCTATCCTTTCCACAAGAAGGCCTATACACTCCTCAATCTCCATACAAAACAGATTTTTTATAGCAGGCATGTCAAATTTCATGAGAACTATTTTCCCTTTCATCATCTTTCATCTGCTTCTTCTTCTACTGTACTGCCCAACATACCCTCTGACCTACTCAACATTTTTTCTTACCCGTCTCCCAATTCTCCACTTCATACCTCAACCCCCATACCACAATCTTCCCCTACCCTCTCAACATCACCTCCCTCTGTTGGATCTGACATTCCTTCAGTTTCCTTTCCTTCTTCCCCTCCCAGATTATCCACTAGAGTGCGCAGGCCACCTTCTTACTTACACCAATATCATTGTCCCACCTTATCCAGCAAGTCTCACCCCTCAGCTCTTTCTTCTCATTAGTGTAATCTGGTCCACTTAAACACTTTGTCACACAGCCATTAAGCTTTCCTTACCCATCTCTGTTCCTATACTGAACCCACTTCTTTTTTTGAGGCTTCCAATGATCCTAGGTGGGTTGTTGCTATGAACAAAGAAATCACAGCATTGCAGGCTAATGACACTTGGGAGCTTGTTGATCTTCCCCCTGGTAAGCGAGCCATTTCCAATAAATGGATCTATAAAGTCAAGCTTAAATCTGAAGGCTCCTTGGAAAGATTTAAAGCTAGACTTGTCATACAAGGGAATCACCAAAAATATGGCATCGACTTCACTGAAACTTTTTCTCCTGTGGTCAAAATGTCTACCATTAGATGCATAATTTCCTTGGCTGCTTCAAGACACTGGGAACTCTCTCAATTAGACATCAACAATGCTTTTCTACATGGGGACTTAACTGATGAAGTTTACATGAAGGTTCCTTTGGGTTTTCCCAACCCTACTCATCAAGTCTGTCGTTTGAAGAAATCTCTTTATGGTCTTTGCCAGGCAAGTCGACAATGGTTCACCAAGTTATCTTCTGCTTTTTACAGTCAAGGGTTTGTTCAATCCAAATCTGACCCCAGTCTGTTCATCAAATATACCTCTGATCACCTCACTTTAGCTGCTGTCAATGTTGATGAAATGATGACATACTTGTCACTGGTTCAGACCTGCTGCTATTGCTTCTCTCAAATGCTTCCTCGATGCCACATTCACTATCAAAGACTTGGGCCTTGCACATTACTTCCTTGGTTTTGAGCTTACTTATACCTCTGAGGGCATCATCCTTTCTCAAAAGAAATTTACCCAGGAATTACTTGCTGAGCATCGCTGCATGCATGCCAAGCCAGTCAAAAGTCCTCTTCCTCAAAACCTTAAATTTCAACAGGGTCATTTGTCTCTCTGTTCTGATCCAATAATCTATCGCAGTCTCATTGGAAAACTTAATTTCCTCACTCATACTCGACCTGATCTCTCCTACTCTGTTCAAATTCTCAGTCAATTTATGCAAACCCCTGAGGAGTCTCACATGAAGGGTGCTATTCATCTTCTTCATTATTTGGTTGGAACCATTGATCAAGGCATTCTTATGAAGGGATCTGACACCTTACCCTTACATGCCTTTTCTGATTCTGATTGGGCTTCCTGCCCTTTTTCAAGGCGTTCTGTCACAGGTTACCTAGTTCTCCTTGGTGGTTCTCCCATTTCATGGAAATCCAAGAAACAAAGCACGGTTTCCAAATCCTCATCTGAAGCTGAAGCTGAATACAGAGCCATGTCTCAGGCTGCTTCTGAAGTAACTTGGATTATCCGTTTACTTGAAGAACTTCGTGTGCCCAACTTAAAACCTATCACTCTTCATTGTGATAATCAGTCTGCCATACACATTGCCAAGAATCTTGTCTTCCACGAACGAACAAAGCACATCGACATTGATTGTCATTTCACTAGAGAAAAGGTTCTTGAAGGACTCATTCAGCTTTCTTATTTGCCCACCACAAATCAACTAGCTGATGTCCTCACCAAAATCATGCCTGCTGATCAATTCCAGAAGCTGCTGTCCAAGCTGGGCATGGTTTCTCCACCACCCAGCTTGTGGGGGGGGGGGGTGTGAAGATAACAGATTCAATGCCAGCTGTAAAGGGGTCAATTCCAGCTGTCACTTAGCGTTTAACTAACCCCACTGTTTGGGGCTTATTTTTAGGCTTTGCAGTTTTCTGTTAGCTAGTAGTTTTGGTTCCTTTATACGGAGTATACTCCTTTTCCTTTAGCTTGTACGCAGATGGAATAACAACTTCTCTTCCAAGTTTCTTTACTTTCTCTTTCTTCCATGGTGTGAAAGTTATCAACAACTTATTCCAGAAGGACAGAGTATTTTAAAAAAAATACTCAATAATAATTAAAGATTTTAATGATTTAATATATGCATCAGAAAGAGTGAAAACTCTGATGTTGCAGTTATTTTTAGAACAAAACTAATTCCCAAAGAAAGAACATGGAGCACTTCAAAACAAATTCACAATCAGAGTACAAAAATAAGGAAGTTCATATGAAAGTACAATTTGCGCAGTTTTCAAAAACATGATCTACGGATTTCAAATCCATAGATCTAAGTCCATAGAAAGCATAATCAAATTGCTTAATGCAGCAATAGAAGCAAAAATTTGAAAACATATAATGCGGAGTCAAAAGAATGTATACAAAAGCAGCCCGATGATTCAACTATGATGCAGGTTATGAATATAATAATAACAATTCAGCTCAGATACCCAAACCTTGATTGATTGGGAAAAAAGATGTACAGAAATAAATATCGGAATTGAAAGGTAAAAGATCGCACCTTTTAAAGTTTTAATAGGATTTCGGAGAAATGGGTATTCGCCTGGGGTGTTACGGAAAGGATGTGATCTCTCTTGCACACTCTTTAAACAGAGCCTGAGAGGTGATAGGTCAGGCCTTAAAACACGGACAAATGCTGGAAAACTCAGTCTCGGCCTCAAATAAAATTCAGATAAAATGAACCTCAAATTTATCATTCACGGATCAGGGCCGGTAATTGGTACACGATTAGCCTAATTTATCTAAGACCTGCTTATATATGAAATGGATACAATTAGAACTGAAGTTGAAGTTCAAATTTTATGAAATTAATTTGGATAGAATTGAATCTTCCAAATCTAATTCATTTTTGATACTATTAATTCCAAATTCATATATTTTTGGTGCTACCAAACAGCAGAATTTCAATTGTTGCCCTCAATTCAAATTACATAGTTTAAATTCTATATATCAAGCCTTCTTATTAAGTGTCATCCATTTCAAAATAAATTTCTCATCCAAAAACATCTTATTTCAAAAAAAAAAACATTAAAGTAAGTTTTGAAAACTAGAATTTGTTCATAATTTTAGATTTGAATTCAATATTTGAAATCTCATATTCTGAATTACAAATGTTGTTTAGAACATCATAAAATCTTAATTCTAAATTTTAAAATTTGAAGAATTGATATCTACACTTTACTACTAGCATTCCACATTACTTATTTTTCATAGGTTGATAATAATAACCTTTTAACTAGAAATACCTCATCCTATAATCCTATCTTGTCTCATAGGCTTTACCCCATTACTTCTAGCGCAATTTATTTGCAAATAAAAATTACTTTCTCTCCCAAATGAGATTACAATCTTTTTCTCTCTTCTCTAGATAATTTATATTTATTTCAATATTTGTGTGTTTTCATTGAGTATTTGATAAAATAAAATATTCTTGTCACCTTTTTTTGTAAAACTTTATACATAGTTTTTTAATATGTAATTTTTATTTCTTATTGATGTACTAATTTGTAAATAACATGATTTCAAAAGGTAAAAATTTTTGTTTCAAATCACAGTTTGTAATCAAATAAGGGATTGAGGGAGTATGACTTAATATTGATATTTATATTAACCATTTAACAAATTTAGTTTTTTTTTGAAGATTATAATTTAATTAATACTCCATACTTATAGATTAATCTATTCATCCGAAAAAGATCTTAAAGTTTGACTTTTTACAGTACAATACTTTGGCCGTTAATATTTACTCTCCCTATCCAGTTTGTCCAGTTTGACTTTTTTGAGTAAAATGGACAAACTTTGAGCTACAAATAAATAAAAACAATAATTTATTTTAACATAAAAATGAAGTTATTGGATTTCTCGCATTGAGAACTTTCAAAATTGCATATAACTATGCCAATATACAATATAAATTGAAAGTAATTGAAGTTCAAAGTTTCCCAGTTTGACTTGAAAAAATCAAACTGTACAAATACACTGGGACGGGGGTAGTATGTGTAACGCCTCAAAACATACCCTAAAATTATTAATGAATAATTATTCGATTAATCAAATTTACTTTGATTAAAATAAATTCTTGTTGGGCTTTTGGGCCAAAGTAAAAGATGTTCTGATATCCAATATCCCAATCTGGATAAATCTCATAGAGATAAATGTTGGAACATGGGTTTACACCTATTTCGTACTAAACCGTGTTCGTTTTATGTCAGGTTTTGATAATGCCAAACTGCCGTGATAACAAGATTAAACCTGAGCAAATCAAAGGCGAAGGAACATGACGTGATGAATTGAGAACCGCGAACCAAGAACCAAGAACGAAGACTTAGAAATAAATTGAGTCGGTCTTAATTTGATCAAGACCGGCACAAACTTTTGAACTTAGCTCTCTAGGCTCATTTCATTAAAATACTCTTTTGCATATTTAAAAATGTTTTTCATAAGTTTTAAACAACCTAAAACACTTGGTGTTCGCCCAAACCAAAAATCAAACCATCTGGCGTTCGGCTTTCAGAAACCAGTGTTCAGCATTCGGTTATCGGCGTTCGTTTTTGGCGTTCGAACCAACTAAGTTGTTTTCAACTTTTTGTAATTGGTTTTTACTTCTGGGAATATTTAAATAGTTCTCCAACAAAAACGCTTCAAAAACCACCTTTCGTTTTTGGTCGTTTAGTAAAAACCATGTAAAACGGCGTAAACTTGGCTAGCCGTGGTTTTTATCTACATGACATAGTTTTCAAGATGTTTCACTTGATTTCTTAGAAAAATTCTTTAAACAAATGTTTTCAACACTTGGTTTTCATTTTGGAAAACTTGGATTTTTGACATCAGCTAACGACATGACTAAACCAACCATGGGTCTGGCTAAACCAGCCCAACAGCGATGTTGGAGTAACCAACAACGCTGTCTGGCATGGGCAACTGAAAAACCATGGTTTGGCGTTAAGTCTTCCAACAGTGATGTCGGTATATGGACATCACTGTTGAGCCAAGGTTGGATTTCTAGAAACATCTGGAACAACGATGTAGACTACTCTACATCGATGTCCAACCTAAGCCAAAAGAAATGCCTTTGACAGAAAGTTTTTGGACAGCGCTCAGCAACAGCAATGTCAGGCCATTTTTCATTCTTCAAAGTCAGGCTTGAGTCTTTAATTCTTTTTATGGATGGGGCTGAGTCTTCGTGGATTATCATGTTCATCGCCTTCCAAATATTCCAGACTACAATGCCTAGAATGATTCCCAAGAGGTCTGCTGTGATACTTTTACCTTTTGCCTTAATGAACCACTGTAGTAGGTATTGATTGATTTGGATGTTGTTGAAGATCTTAGGCCCGTCTAGAATAGTTATGAAGTGTTCCCACACTTGTTTAGCTATAGGACAGTGAATGAAGCAGTGATCTGAGGAGTCAGCTTCTTCTTTGCACAGATGACAAAAAGAGGTTAGATTGTAGGAGATTTTTTGAAGATTGTGTGTGAAGGGGAGAGAATTTGAGTAGATTTTCCACAAAAAGAGGCTAATCTTTAGAATTTGCAGAAGGTGCCAAATAATCATGCTAGAGAGTGTCCTGCAGTAGTTATGATTTGTAACAGAAATGGCCTACCCAAAGGTAAAATCCCCTTGCTTCCAGGTAGTTTGATCACAGGCAGTTTGATGAATATTTACTATTCTCCTCCAAGTAGGTCAGTCTGTAAGTTTGTGCCTAATGGAACCATCCCTCGTATATTTTTGCCTCATAAAATTGGTCTAAGGACTATGGTAATGTTGCACCTTCCACCATAGCTTGATATCATGTGCTTTTTGAGTGATGTCCAGATGATGAATCCCTAATCTCTCTCAAGCTTCAGACAAATCAACGAACCCTAATTCGGATTACTTCGTCGGTGCTTCGTGGAATCACGGCTTCCATCGAAATTCCGAACTCGACATTGATTGAATATTCTAATGGAGTCTAATCGTGGGGAAAAGTCTAGTAATAGTAGTAGTAAATCGTTCTACGAAGCTCCTCTCGGTTACAACATTGAAGACGTCAGGCCAAACGGTGGAATCAAGAAGTTCAGATCTGCTGCATACTCCAACTGCGCTCGCAAGCCACCCTGATATTCCCTAAATTTCTGTTCTTTTCACGTCTGCGGCGTGATCTTTTTTTGTTTGCTTTCTTTTTCAATTCCTTTCTTTGCTTTGTTACAACCCCTCCTTTTCCTTCTTTATTTTGCTGCTTCCTTGCTTGCTTTCCCTTATCATTCCCATATATTGCCATCTCTTTGATTTTTGAACATTTTATTGGAAATGGAATTGGAAATGCCTGCATCTACTATTGTAACACCCTAATTCGCCCAGGTCTGCAGCCCCTTTCGGACTAAAGTATTAACTTGGAAATCATAAAATTTTAAACATTTCAAATACTTTTATTCATCATAAATATTATTCAATACATAACAGTAGTAAAATACGGAGTGTTTAATAATAGTGAGGAAGCAATTTAAACCATGTTTAATAACAACACAATTATTCATTTTAAAATCACAAATTCAACCACGACAGTCTCGCCCCTTCCGCTGCCAAGAATATGTAAATCATTCATCCTGCCTACCTACCTACGTGTAGCAAATAAAACACACTACACGCTCAGCGGTGAAGCTAAGCAAGCATATCTAACACGTCGAACATCTATATAAATTGAATCTCAATTCACAAACAAACTGTAACACCTTAATTCGTGCAGCCTCTTTTGGACTAAAGTATTAACTTGGCAACGTAAAAATTTCAAACATTTAAAAACATTTTTTCAAAATTGTACTAAATATTTCATAATAACATCAGATTAAAATTATTCAAAATAGTACGGAAGCGAATTGTAAATTACAACAGTGTGGTCACCATGTGATAAAATCATTTAGTTAAATAGTAGATTTGTGCACGTCCACGCATCACCTCCATCTTAGTATTCTCCAGAATAGGCTCCACATTTATTCTCTGTCATACCTACGTGTAGAAAGATTAAAAAGTCTACACGCTCAGCAATGAAGCTTAGTGGTACCATGGCATAACAAAAGAATTCACAGAATAATTTTCTTAAACAATACTCATCACATATATATGTTCAAATATTCTCTTTTCATATTTAAATCCATCTTTGTTATTTTAACAATGATAATGAATATAGTCAATCTTAACTATCATCATTCAAACTTAATCAGTCCATAATTCACAATAATCACATGTCACTTTTTTATATCACAATATTCATCATTTGTTATACATAATTTTCATATCAAATTTTATCAGAATTTGCTCCTAACTTATTCTAAGTTAAGGCTAAATCATATCAATGATCTTAAACTATTCTTAGTATAAGTCAAATTAATATTGATAACATAACTCTTAAACTATAACTAGTCTAAGACAATATTTCTAACCAGGCCCTTAAACTATAAATAGTTCAATGCAGAACACAAGAATCGATAATCCACCCTATGAGTCACGTGGATTATGTACCAACCGAACAGTGATCTGTCGGGTGGGTGATATCCGGTTTGGATCCCGTACGTACGTTTTAACCCTGAATCATGAATTGGTCAAAGAGGTATATCTTAGAGTTCTTCTAGATATCCTTAATAATAATCATCAATTTCCATGTGGGTATATCTTAGAGTTTTTCTAGATATCCTTAACAATACACATCATTTTCATAATCATCAATATATTCATTTTTAATCATGATTTAGTCATTCATAATTATTATTTTAATAAGAATATTAATCAGATTCTGATCATAAACAACATCAATAATAATCATCACAATATCCAATAACAAATAGCGGCCTAACATTGAGTGTTAACACCTAGCTTATCACCATACATCATATAAGGTTCTTTAGTTGTCCAAACATCATTTTTTTAAAAGAAATTGTCTTTTTATTGATGTATCAAAGAATAGGATTTTATATCTTAAAAAATAGCATTTTCGAACTTAAAATGTTCACAACGATCATTTGCAGGAAAAAATGGAGTTACTATTCATCATCTTCAACCTTTGATCAAATTTCTCAAAACACCATAAAAGCTTCTAAGCTTTAAACTAACTTCATAAAAATGTTTTCCAACATCCATAGATCACTCACAAATAATTTATTTGAAGCTTTAACAACAAAACAATTTTGGTGATTATGAATATCAAAATATTTATATTTTCAAATATATATGAATCAATAAGTTCAAGGATCATTCCAATGCCTTCAAAGTTGTTTAAAATCATGGTACAGACCTGGAAATCGATGATATGAAGCTCAATGAACGAACGGGAGCAAAAACAACGTTGGAAATCAGAAAACTCGTCGCTTCCCGTCACCACTGTACCAGCCCTGGTTTTCGGGCCATATCTCCTTCGTTACTCAATGAAATCGCAAACCGTTTGAAGCTACGGATTCGTAAGACATAAGGCTACAACTTTCGTTTAGAAACCAGATTAAAATAACAACGTTTAGAGGGTGTAAAAATGCTCACAAGTGGGCTGATTTGCACAGGGAATGTTTTCTTCATTCAACTTTTCGGGGCAACTTCCGGCAAGAACCGTGGCTAACTTCGGCGACTATATCGGCGGCGATCACTTGCGGTCTATTCTCTATACTCTAATGAAACTATGGGAAGAAGAAAGGAGAAGTTTGGTGGAGAATTGAAGAAGAATGGAGCTCCCCATTTATAGGTGAAGAGAAGGATTGTATGAAGTTTGATGCCTTCATTTCTTTGATCATTCCTTGATTTGGGGTGATTTTCGTTCGACATAGTGGGGGTGGCGGCTGCTCTTTGTAAATTTCACACCTTTGTCCCTGGTTGGGACTAAAATGGTTCTAATCCGCTATACTTTTTGGTCCAATTTTCTCCAAATTGAAATCTGATTATATCGTTACGGTCAGACAGTCAAGCTCTAAGCGACAATATAATTTTCACATTTTTTTGGAATACTTTTTCTGACACCATATTTTTGGGTATTGACTTTGACAAAGTCAAAATTGAATTAATTGACATACAATTAAAAGTACTCTCATATTCAATCAATATTGTTCAATTTAAATAATTTATTTCAATATATCATTTTACAAAAGTTCACATCTTTAACAACTACTCATTTTTATGCAAATTACATATTTAAAATGTCACTACTCAAAATCTGTAAATTAGATTTGGTTTCATCTCTTCGAGACCTATTCATAAAAGTCAATCTTAACAAAAAAAATCATTGACTCCAAAAATTCTTTTATTTTTTGTCAAACATAGAAATAATTTTTGTTGGGTCAAAATATTATTTTTAACCTACTTTTATTATAGAATAACTTTTACACCATGTTTTGGGGCGTTACATTTCTTCCCCCCTTAAAGAAAATTTCGTCCCGAAATTTCCTTAGGTAAAACTTCATATCAGAAGCAATTCACAAAATGATGAATACGACACATTTGTTATAAAGTTTTTTTTACTTTGAAAATGTTCTAGAAGCATCCTGAGACTAAGTCTGGAATGTTGGTTTAATTTGCGGTGTACGCTCACTATTTTTCACTCTCAAAAAATGATTGTTTTCACGGTTGACGTTCGCAATTTAAGTTCTATAGCAATGTTTGGCGAATAGTAATTATCATAGTAGTCACTTTAGGTTCTCTAAGTAGATAACTAAACAAGGATTCATAATTTAATATTTATAACTGCGAATCTAAATAAGGTTGCACTGATTCAATCCATGCATATTGAAGACATCAAATATGTCAAATATTTTAATAAGTAGATTTCACATCATTCAATCAAATTGAAGACATCAAATATGTCAAAATTACATAACAACATTTGTTTAAATCATACCACAGTATTTGGATCAATTCCATAGTAACAATTATTTATCTTAGTATGATGACATTAAATCAATAATTTCTAACTTTACACAATTTTTTTAAAGTGAAGATTTCCATCTTCTAATATACAACACATTTCTCACGATTTTTTTTAAATAATTTTGCCATTAATTTTCATTAGCTCAATGTTGTCTTAAGAAACACAATTTGTTTTACGAATATCTTTAAAAGATACTTTGTATGAAATAAAATTGTCAAAAACTTATATCGTCGCATTATCATCAAAGAATTTGTAAAACATTCTTTTGTAATTATTCCTTCAAATATCTTTCTCACAATTTTTTTTCATCATCGATAATAATCTTCATAGGTAATGCAATCGCATCAACCATTTTGTAGTTCACAAAGAGAGATTCGACATAATGTTCAAGTGAGGGTAGTTTTACTATTGTGATTGAGTCACGTAGTTCACAGAGTATAGTTCTTGAAAATCAATATCCTAAAGCATCTTCTGGATTCAATGGAAAATCGTGAGTTAGAATAATTTTTCCATGGTTAAATATTTTGATACAAGCAATGGAATTCAATCTTTTCAAGATTGATCAAGTGAGATGTTTCAAGGGTATATTTAACACAATAAGTTTGAGTAATTAAAGGATATGAGTCACAAGATACAAAGATAGCGTTTTCAAATTACCGTTACTAATCGTAGGTTTTCTTTCTTCAATGTTTCACTCTTTGGAAGTTACTCAAGAGATTGTTGTCTTAGGAAATAGCCGTTTTGACTTTTCGTCTCGGATTTGACAGTATTTCAAGACAGTGAATCTAACTGTTCATGAGTCTCAATATATCATGTCGCCAGCACACTATAGTATTGGAGAGTACATTATTGTCTTGAGCGAATCCACTTTCCTGTACGTTTTTAGGCTGGTGATAATTACTTTTGCATCAATAGTCTGGTTTCAAAGTCTATATATATCAAATTGTGGCAAGAGCATCTCACATTTTCACATTATGGAAGGAACTTCCGAGCTCTTTCTTATACCATAAGATTCGTTGGTCTACTTGGTAGTCATGCTCTTGGTAGCAATCCAAGGTTCATGGTTACAGCGGTTGATCTAGGACGGGAATTGGTAAGGCGAAAAATTAGGCTTACATACGGAGGAGGCAACGTTGGCCTTCAAGGAGCTATAGCTTCAACAGTCTATAATAATGGTGGTAGAGTCAGAGGTTTCATACCAGGGTATATAGCAACGCGACAGGTTTACGGACCTA